TGGCTGTCGGAACGGATTAATTTCATAAGTAGAGGTACCACTGTATATATCTCTCTCTAGATTTTCTTCCCATTTTCTTAACCAGACAAAAGATCTACTTCCATCATTCCACAGCTTTTCAAACCAATGTCACTATCATCCCAGGACATGATGACAGTGGGCCCAAAGCCTTATTAAATTTGGATCCAATATCATTTGCTATATCTGCAGGTGGGCAACTTGTGACCCTCCAGATTTTATTTGGACTGCAATTCCTTTCATCCTTCACTGTTTGCTATGCTGGCTAGGGATAATGGGAGTTTCCCTACCCCTTAGGGACTGGTGTCATAGGCTGTGAAATTCAATGCATATTTAGGTTAGAAGTCTCATTGAAATCACTAGACATGTAGGAATATAATGTTAACAGACTTCTTTGAAAGCATATTTGTGCATGTATAGCATAAACTATGATCACCCAACCATTCCACTCAAGTCTAATACTCTCTTCTTCTCTAAAGCAGACAGACTCAGACTACTGTCCCTGGGCCACTACTCATCTATAAGCTCCAGGCACTGATCTAAGTCAAAAGGTGGTAAAATCAAGGGTTGTGGAATATCCATACATGGTTCTCTACATCTGTTTCTGTGTTGTCTTCTGGTGGTGGTGGGAAGCCACTCTGCTAATAGATATACCACATTTTTATTTGTTTCTTTTCACATTCCCAGGGGACAAACTGGCTAATCAAATGCAACTTCCTTGAAGAAGTAACTCTTTGGTATTATTAGACTTACACATGGACCAGAAATACCAAAGAGTGCTTGCTATGTTTCTTCCCACATTCCCTCTTTGTCCTCAAAGTGGAAAAGTAGTTAGCACTTAATTAACTCAGGAGAGGGGAGAGGAGAGGTGGGGCAGACTATTGCCCTTCCCAAAGGGTTCAGGCAAAAGCAAACTGCACAAGCCTCTCTTCACTTTTGTTTTCTTCCTCATTAATAAATTTTGCCATTTTGACCACACTCTGATGTTGCTTGGCCATGCATGTCCTGGTTTTCATCTGTGAAATGTTGAAAAGTATTTTTTACCCTGTAAAATTTACTATGAACTACCAAGGGTGCATATGAGAAGACACTCAATCCTCTACAAGATTTGGCTTCTTCCTAAGGCCTTTGTTAGAACTGTTTACTTGATATCTTGTTACTGTGTTGATTTGTAGTATATTTGTCGTTGCTATGTGCCTTCAAGTCATTTCCAACTTATGGTGACTCTAACGTGAATTCATCACAGGGTTTTCTTAGCAAGATCTGTTCAGAGGGGTTTTGTCTTCGCCTTCCTCTGAGACTGAGAGAGTATGACTTGCCCAAGAGGGTTTCCATGGCCGAGCAGGGATTCAAACCCTGATTTCCAGAGTTGTAGTCCAATGTTCAAACCATACACCATGCTATCTCTCTTGTATGAAACCAGTACTCCCATATACCACACTGTTGTTATGTGTCTTGAAGTTCACTTCAGCTTATGGCAGTGCTTTTATAGGGTTAGTGGTACCCCTTCATTACAGCCCTAGTTGCCACTGGCTTCCTCTTAGGCTGAGAGTATGACTTACCCAAGATACCCCAATAGGTTTCTATGGTTGAGAAGGGATTCAAACCATGGTTATCCAAAGTCTAACACTCAAATCATTATACTACCACACTGGCTCTTATATACTGTTACAGTACAAGGATATACTTTCTAGTTTTGATCTATGTAGAAACTTTTCAGTTTCCTTTTTATGCATTGTTTGTATTCTACCTATTTTCCCATAATGAATGTCTTTGATTATTGTAGTCACTTTACAAAATGCATTCTGTCATAGTTACTAATTGGCTGCCAGGATTCAGGATAAATCTCACATCGATTCCAGCTGCTTAGGGCAGGGGTTGGCAACCTACAGCCCACAGGCCGCACCCCTGCTGCCGCTGTGGGGAAGGCCCCCTTGCCGCTGCTGCGGGCAAATTTGCCTGCCACGGGTGCGGAGGGGCCTTTAGAAGGCCCAGGGATGCACCGCCCTTGAAATCAACAGGACTTGAGGAAATAATAATAATAATAAAGTAAAATTTTATTTTTAGCCCGCCCCTCTGCGTAATGCAACCAGGGCAGCTTACAACTTTAAAATATACATCCATATCCCCCAATGCCACCCCCCTTAAAATACAATTAAATATTCCCACGGAATTTCCCTTACGCGTGCGAGGGGAGGGGATCTGGAATGGATCCCCTGCGTAAAACAAGGGTCCACTGTAATTCTGTGCATGAAACAGTTTGTGTACATCGACCAACCAGAAAGCAAAGGTTTCTCTGTCTCAGGCACCCATGTGGACAATTTTGGATTTTGGAATACTTTGGAATTCCAGATAAGTGAGACTCAACCTGCAATGTCATTCATATACCTTGCTGCCATATTTTCTACCCACTGAAGTTCCCAGACCATTTTTAAAAGCCTATGTACACAGGTAGTAACCCAAGTGGGAGGTTCCCACAGCATCACCAAAGCATATCTGTTTCCGTCCAGGTACAGCCATAGGTACTGCACCACCCTAAACTGCAAAAAAGATACTTCCAGCCACAGAGGTCATTTATGGCTCTTGCAAAAATGCTGGATCTCTGAACACCACAAAATTATGAAACCACCCCCTTGAGGTGAAAGCAGGCTCATTTGGATCAGGCCAAATGCTCTCATCTGGTCTGAAGAATCACCCATGAACACCATCTTTCTAGCATCTAGATTGAACAGCTATTTATTGGGCTTCACCCAGTCCATTCATGCAGCAATTTAGCACTTTGCCCATGAAAAGACAATAAAACAGTGTCATACACATGTCGATACCACATTTTAAATGAGTGCTTGGCAAGTTTTTTTAAAAAACAAAACAAAACACAATTGGTTGCTGTTATAGTTCCTAGATCCAAAAAGGGGGCAGTTACTTTTTTTTCTTTTTAGAAATGACTCTTCACTTTCTTATTTCTCACAAGTAACTCTGACTTGCATGACTTCTAGTGGACAGTGATCATAGAGTTGCGCTGGAGGAACTATATTCCTTTGTTGTTGTAGTTAGCTGCTCAACCCATGGCAACCCTATGGATGAGACATCACCAGGGCTCCCTGTCCTCCACAGCTCCTGCAAACTCATATTTGTGGTCTCTTTAATAAAGTCCATATTAATAAAATCTGTGAATAATCAAATCCGAAAAAGTCAAATGTAGAGGCAGGACTATAAATATAAAATAGTTAATGCCTGGGGAAAAGAAGTAATCATAACCATCCCACTAAATATAAGGAATTTATTCCATACTCTATTAAATCCCTAGATGATTCCATTTAGTGGTTTCATGCAAATCAGAGATGGGAATCAAGTGATCCCACCACATGTTGTTGAGCTGCAGCTCCCAGCATCCCTCACAATTGGACATGCTGGGTAGGACTAATGGGAGCTACACTCCAACAACATCTGGAGGGACACATCATTCCCAAACCTGATGTAGATGTTAAATAGCATGGTGGCTAAGACTGAACCCCTTGGAACCCTGGAATAATAAAAGTCATGAAGTCAATAGAATTTGCCCACCACCAGCTTCCAAAAATACGTAACTACCCAGGTATTAACAGAGCCCCTGAAGCATACTGCTGATAATTCCCAATATTGACAGACTCTCCAGAAGAATACTGGAGGAAATGGTATCTGTCAGTGCCTTTCTTGAGCATTCATGGTGGGATGGGTCTGCTAACACCCTTTCCAACTCTCTCCCTGAATAGTATAAAGCTCACTATTAGGTCCAAGAGGCTCCACTGGCTTAATATTCACTTGGCCATCATGTGAGCAACCAAAGCAGTTGCAGTATAGAAAGAACATTGGCCTCTTGATGATTTCTTGTGGGTGGCTGGGAAACTGATTCATTGCAAAAGTTGAAAAAAATATTATCAATATTAAAACATAGATTAGAAACACATAGTTAAAACCAGTAAAAACCATAAAGTATTTACAGCACACAACACAACAGAAGTAAAATTCATCCACCAAACGTCTGCCTAAATAAAGATCTCCTCAACTGCTGGCGAAAGAATTAATCAAGAATTCATCAAGGCATCGATTTGTCTGTCACATTAATGTCCTGTTTATCCTCCAGGGAGCTTAAGGCAACATTCATGGCTTTCCACCTCCTTCCCAACTTATCCTTACAACAATCCTGTGAGTTGGGCCAGGCAGAAAGAGAGAGAGAGGCCCAACTTCATCCAGTGAAGTTCAACCTGATTGGGGAGGAATGCATTTTACCACCTTTTCAAGGCAACCCTATCATGGGGTTTTCTTGGCAAGATTTATTCCAAGGGGTTTTTGCTATTGCTTTCTTCTCAGGCTGAGAGTGTGTGACTTGCCCAAGGTCATTGAGGGGGTTTCCATGGCCAAGCAGGGATCTGAACCCTGGTCTCCTGGGTCCCAGTCCAACATCCAAACCACTACATTACCCTGGCTCTAGTCCACTGATATTATATTATTTATAATATAAATATAATAACATAAATATTATATTATAAGAATATTATTATTATTTTGCCTATGAAAGCTCATGCTATCAACTTCTTTCTCTCAGTCTCAAAGGTGCTACAAGATCCTTTTGCGTAATGTTTAATGATCATCATTATTTATCCTTTTTTGGATGTCACTTTCTTCTCACCTCACTGATCCCCTATCCATCCACTCATCCACATGTATATTAATCTTCCAAGAGAGGCAATACTCCATGAATCAGATGACAAAATAAGCTTCTTTTTGGCAAACAGATGGTGTTGTTGTGACTATACAACTACGTAGATTTTTCAGTCTTCCAAGAAAGGCAATACGCCATGCGTCAGATGACAAAATAAGCTTCTTTTTTGCACACATTTGGTGATGTTGTGACTATACAACTACAGTCTCCCGATCCACAGGGGATCTGTTCCAGACCCCCCCCGCGAATCGGGAAAATCACAAATACTGGGGTCCCATTTGTTTTGATGGCTGTGCGCCCCTGCGTGTGGCACAGCACGTGTGCCACGGGCATGCTTGTGCCACATGCGTGTGTGCCATTTTATTCCTCCTCGCTTTCTATCTGTGAATGGGTGAGACTGTGGACTCCAAATCTGCAAATGGGGAGAGAGGTGGTGCACGTAGATTTTTCAGTCTTTTAATAGAGGCAATGTGCCATGTGTCAGATGATGAAATAAGCTTCTTTTTTTGCACACAGATGGTGTTGTTGTGACTATAAACTACCTAGATTTACTCATCCATAATTGTTTTGTATTCACAATACTGAGTCACAATCATGACATTATTGCCACGATTGTAACTCCTCTCCCAACTACTTTTGCAGGCATCATCTGCATGGGTTAAATGGGCTAAAGTCCACAAAAAGCATATTCCAAAGAATCCCTGCCAGTCTTTAAGGTGCCACAAGACACTGTTCTTTCTGAACAGAGCTGACACAGAGAAGCAGTTCTGTTTTTCATGGGTCCTTCTTTGACAGCATCCCTGATGATCTAGTAGTATACTGGGTAACAATAACAAAGCATGCACTATAATGGAGCTTTAGTATAACGGAGAGAGTTATGAGGGGATATCGTAACGTTTTAATTATCAGCTTCAACATTTTTTGAGAGAAAGTTTGTTTTGATTTGTAGTTGTTAACTTATCTCTACATAGTCACCATCCAGATTTACACATTTTCCCAGCATTTCTTGACCCTCTGAATACTGTTATTGTAGAAGACTGCAGACTGCGCCTTACAAGGATTTTACACTTCAGTCACTTCTGGCATAACCTGTCACAAAAATAAAGGACACAATGAACTGATTTTCTCAACATCATGCACTGACAAAATTTCATCAATATAGCATAATAACTTCTGGGTGATAATTATTACTTTACGATACCCCCTCATAAGGTGCAGTGTGCAGACTTCTACAATATCAGGTATTCAGATGGTCAAGAAATGCTGGGAAAATGTGTAAATCTGGATG